TCTCATGTCTCAGAGAGAGAAAATGCCGTCAAAGGCAAAGTCTGTGTGATGCCATGGTGCATCGGTGTTCGAGGAGACTTCGGCGAGGGGTGAAGTTGGGAGAGGCGCGCATCTCTGGCCCGCAGAGGAGAGGATAAGAGGGTGTCGCTGAATTATATCTGGGCCAGCCCAATACGATGTATCCCTTTGCAGGGATCCTGTCACCCGGGACCGGGGACTCGAGAGCACCGAGTCGGGAGGAGCAGTTACGGGTGCTCAGCCAACTGGTGCGTCCTGGGCGTTGGCCTTGCGGCAGTATCGCTGCCGCTCGTGTGTCTAGCCGTACATCATGTTGAAGTATGAGTGTAAGATAGAATATCTTATGTAATGTTGGTACATGTTAGAAAGTAAGGCACTCGGCCGGGTAAGAGGAATAATGTATGTAAGTATGTGTCACAGTCTGCCATTAGAAACTCCCGAACTCTCTGTAGACAGAAACCGCCCGAGTCTCTTCAACTTGGAAGTGTGGATTGTCCCCCTGCGGATATTCTGCCACTGAGATGATTACTTACAAATTGGACCAAATGATTTTTATGGTTACACACAAGTGCGGGAGGAGATTAGTTCCTGCGGTCACCGCCAATGTGCTGCTACTGGCCCAGGTGTTTGTGCAGTGGAGAATTATTGCTCTCAACACCCCACGTTGGTCCGCACGACTCTGGGTTCTTGCTGGGTTCTTGATGAATTTCCCGTAATATGGTACCTGTTTTGTTTGAGAGTCACAGGTGAGAGCTGTATCATTCACAGCTACCAAATGTTTTGGAACGATCCCCAACACTTTTTCCTGACATTTCCCTCGGTCCAAATTTCTCCAAGCCTGTACAAAAACACAAAAATGGATGCTGAAGTGGATGCACTTACTGTAATCAACATGTATCATCTCCAGATGCCTGGCACAGTGAGGAGTTCACTAGTTTTTGAGACCTTGACTTTGGGAGGACATTGCAGACGGGGTGCAACCTCATCTATGCTCCATATGCCACGGGGCCAGTTGACTCAATTCTCTTTGTCTTATGTCTCACCCCAAGTCTGCCCAGACATTATCACACACTGCAAGCGACTCATCTTGGCTAAACAGTGGGCAGACATGGATACTTTACTGCACCTCGAGAAGCAGGCCGCGTAAAACATCGTGCCATTCTTGCACAGTGAGCGACTTGTAGGGGTGGTCTGTGTCGCTGAAACGGTACAAAAGTGCGTCGTGCAGGAGTTGATAGTGGTGAAGAAACATTTGAGAGCGCGTGGGGTCTGGGGAATATACAAGTAGTGCAGGTTCCGGCATCATGTACAGCTGCTGCACCAGAGATCCAGCTTGGAGTCCAACGTGCGTGGGTGGTTGGGATTTGTCGACTCTGGCTAGCGCTTGCGCCCAAGAAGCGATCGCAGGGGCCATCTGTGGGCTGACAATCACTTTGTATTTGTCACGCTCTTGCACATTGCTTTCGGTTTCGACTTTGCCTGTTTTTCAGAATCTGGGAGCAGTCAGTAAATTGGAAACAGTTCCAAATGAATAAGGAATCTCACAGGGCGAGAGATGGCTGTTTTGGCGCTTTGGCGCACGGCTGGGACCAGCTATAGCCGGGGTGTTGGAGCGGGGTGCGACCACGGTCTGTGCCTGGACAGGATCTCGGTACCACGGTGTGTTTCGGGTACACAGATGCAATGCGTACATTCTGTTCTCGAATTTTGGACCTACATCAACTGGCGGGTAGCCGGGAGCGGCCTCCAGTTCAAACGAACGGGTAGATTTGATGGGCACAACAATTTGAAGTATGTTGGTGCCTTCGGTGAACAAGGCCAACGGTCGTATGTACCAATAAGGCAGTTTGGCAATGTAGAGCTTCTGGGCAATCTCTCCGTCTGGGGTGAAGACGCCGAGACGATCATCTGGTGGGCTTTTGATAGCGGTATTTGGGTCTTCCATGCGTGGTTTGTAAACAATCATGTAGTCGAGAACAGTGGTCAGCTCGAGATAGCTGCGCTGCAGGGTCGTTACGCCAAGAACCATGCGGCTATAGGTCGACGGCAGGCTCTGGAGACGATCCAGTCCTAGACGCAAACTCTGGACATACCTGTTCAACCACGGCATGATTTTAGCAGGAGGGCTGGTGCTTTCGGTGTATGCCTTGTAATTCCCCAGAGCTCCGTGCACGAGTGATGCGAGTGCGGAGAAATGTCGTTGGCTTAGCTTGCCCAGACCTCATGTTAGGGTCTTGCCAGATTGGGGACACACAAAGTCGGAGTGTTGAGGATTCCACCACATGAGCACATCGGCCTGGGACTTGCAGGGAATAGCCCCGAAATGGCAGAATTCGTGGCTGAATATGTGCGGCCACACTGCCGCCACAGTGTGGGATTGTCGGGCCTGAACTGCATATCTGTGTGAATGGATAGTTTGCTGGAGGAAGTTGGAAGTGTTGGGATGTAATGAGCGTGCAATGTGACGAAGCAATCGGCTCTCTCGACATTGATAACAGCTCCTATGTGTCCGTCCCATGGGCCTAATGTAACTGAACAATGTTAGACAAGTAATATGCAACTGAACAGACTTGCCATGCTCATTGCGGTATCTCAGAAAATCAACCATCCTCTGTCAATTAGTGCAAGACCAATTTGACACTCAACTGGTGCAAGACCAGCTGACTCCGTAGTAGCGCAAAGCCACAAACGAAAGAGGGGATCGAAGATGAGGTGGTGGAAAACTACAAAGGAAGCGGTGTTAAATGGGCAAGAGGCAGAATGTTGTATACGCGCCTGAGCGATAGACTTGTCGTGGTTCAAGAAGGGTAGTGGTTGTGGTTGAAGAAAGAACTCCCCAACACTGGGAGTTCGGCATTTGTTCAGCACCTCATGACGCGTGGCAGTGCTGGCTCTCTTCCTCAATGCGACGATGGAGGCTGCCTTTGCGCTCTTGCAGCAGCTCAAAGACAGTGTTGACAGTGCCGCGTCCAACAGCCCAACCACCCAAACTGACAAAGTCAACTTACGAAAAAGGCTTTTGCGCGTGGCCGGCACGCTTCCTGCTGAACCACCTTCTTCCCGAGCTGAGCGCGCGTCCTCGGAACCCCCACCAGCAGCGCAGCCACCCCGACCCCCTGCAAGTTATTCTTTGGCCGTCGCTCTGCTTTTATCCTCACATCTTCTCTCAACCCCTGAAACCGAGCTCTAAACGTGGCGCAAACAAGGAAGTCAAGACGGAGCGATGTCTTCAACACGTCGCTGTTATCGCAGGCAAAGCAAAATCCCTCAAAACGCTCAACTCCAAAGACTTTTACACCACTCTAACCCCTCCCAAAGGGAAGCCACTGCTGATAGACGAGGAAACGTTGGCATTGACAAAACTTCTAGTTCCCTACGAGGATGGATCTATTAAAAGCTGGGTTCGTTGTTGATTTCGGCAGCTCTTGAGATTGCCTAACCTATCCTCAGCGCTCCTCTCTTGGTAAAGTCAATCTGCGCTCGACTTCTATACAAGATTTTGCAAGGTGAACAGCGCTACAGAGATGTTGCAGATCTGCCGCAGCGCCTGCTGCTTCGACACAAGGTGTGTTGATCGGGCAATTATGCACGTATACTCACCTCTGCTAGAATCTTGTTGCCCAAGAAACAATGTCGGACATTTCGACCTACCTCAGAAACCTGCTCCAATGTATCAACACAATTGAGTTTAGTCTCAAAGTCAAGAAGCTCGGAGATAGAAAGGGCGGGACGGGGTGCAAGACGGCTCTCTACAACGAGATGTACATGGCAGAGGGGTCGCCAGGGACCTATGCTGAATGGAAGAAAGAAAATGAGGCCAAAGTCACGGCGCGCAACAGGTTGTGTATGGTCGGTCTATCATACGGTACGTGGTTCTATTCCTTTCCGCTTCTTCTGTTCACGCCTTGCAGTTGGTCTCAATTTGCTGCTTGATCCATTTTGGAGCCCACGAAACCTTGAACCAAACCACTGCGACAACGACTTTGGAGAGACACTATTGAAACTTCAGGCGGCCGTTGCAGACGACAGACAGACCTTGACGGACAACTTTAATACCTCAAAGGGTGCGCTGTATAATATGCTGATGACTGTTTTCCCCGCTGCTGCAAACTTTGTGATAGATGTTTGCGACAATCATCCCCCAGACTTTGCGGAGATTGATACGGACGCTGTAGATGTTGTAGTTTAGCTGTTGTGTAAAGTCGCATTGATTGTACTATCATATCACTTCAAAACTTGGACATTGAGATTTGACCCTGGCAAAAGTTAGGGTGTAATGCGTGCGTGGCGCCTGAGCTGGAGGACGAGGACAGTGGCAGCGCACGTGAGTCTTGTTTGTTATGCATCTTACGTGTGCACCATGCTCCTCCACAAGCCACCCGCGCACAACGAACGGCGAAATGCGCTGTCGTCTCTGTGTGTGCATGCAGAGCGAGGAGTGTGCGAGACCGGCGCGTCGCGACGTGAGTGGCGTAAGTTCTGCCAGCGGCGAGAGCTTGGCCGCAAGTGGGGGTGCCGTCGCAAGCCGGGATTTACCTGGAAACAGCACGTATGAGGGTGATAGGTTGCGCAGAGAAGGGCAATGGACGCACCAGTCTGAATGAATCAATTCACCTTCTCCCATTTCCGCTTGGCTTTCTCTTTCGCGTCCGAGCCGGCCAATCCGAGCTGTACGAAGCACTCACGGACGTCCGTGGACGAACGGAGGTGGGTGTGCGCTTGAACAAAGGGTTGATGTGCTGACAAAGCGACTGCCGTATTGGGACAGAATCCTCCTGTCGGCACGGAGACTTACATTAGGGGCATTCTTCCTGTGGATCCATGGGAAGGAATGCCCCTAATCCTTCCCGTGGTTCCACAGGAAGATGCTGCTCTATTATTCTTGCCGTGGTCCTACAGGATGGATTGTTGATCAAGACTCGGTGTTGAGACTCAGCATCGAATTTGTCATCGAGACACAGAATGAGCGTTGCAAAGACGTGGACCTCTTGGCTCAGTGGTAGAGCATCTGATTCCAGCACAATGAGAACGTCCAGAAGGTCGTCCGTTCGATCCGGGCAGAGGTCAATTGTTTTTGGAGGTTTCTGGAGCAAGATCATTTTTCTTCCTTTTTCGGCCATTCGGACGAGGTCCCTAATCGGGAACAAGGTCGTCGGGTTTCCGGCCCGTCTGGGCGCAAGTGATAATCCAGCAACACTTGGAGAAAAGTCGCGAGCCGTCGCTGACCTTTGGTCAGCTCCGGCTCGCTCCTTCCACCTTCCATGGGCCGTAACCGACCGCAAAGTAAAGTTACAGCGCAACAACAAAAAAAGTGCCAAAAAAAGTCTATTTGCAAGACTATCAGGCCTCTTGAATCTTGACTTCGTCTTGACAGACGCTCTAGTAACGCCTTATAAATTGCGGCGGGCCATGCGATAATGAACCTGCAGATAGCCATCCACATCTTCCCTGCGACGCCCAGTCGACAACTTCTAGACAGGCAAGGTTTGAGCAAGGTCTGAGCCTGTTCGAGGGGGTTAGTTTAAGGACCTGATCAGCTCTGCGTCAAGGATTCAAGTCCCGGTGTCGTTTGCAAATTATTTACAACGGCTCGGATGCCATTTTTGTACTTCGAATTGAGCTCGAACAGAACCACTCTCTTGAGTGTATTACAGATCTCAGCTGCAGTCTGTTCCGCTGGACGCCTCTGTCCACGTAGTAGAAACCAAGTAGTAGCTGCATCCTACACTAACAAAAACCGTTATCACTAATTCATACATCAAGATGCGAGGACTGAGTTGTGGCTGTCTTCTACACACCACTAGTACGTCGGCACACGATGGGTCATCTGTGTTTTTGCGACGGAGATATAATTACAGTCATGAGGGTTCGGTATGTCCGGAGATCTTCATCACTCTTAACGACCAAGGTCAGAACGAACGAACAAGCTGGCGAGCAGCGGAAATGTTGACGCCGATCCGAATTTTGACTTCTCGTTGGCTTTGAAACATTGGCTGTGGTGCAAATTTCCAAACGCTGGACGCTCATTGCCTGGTTGAAGATTTGGTTCCTCTGAGGGTATGAAAGCATCAGACAACGGTTGATGAGGAATGTGAGCAAAATTTAACCGCCAGTCTTAGGCCAAGTCAGCGTTGCACTCTAAAAACTAGTTGTCATTATCCCGTATCTTCTTGTATAGATTAATGATAAGGTCATTAGCGGTTAGCGTTATAATTCTGGAAACAATCAGCTGCGAGGATTTTTTTTATAAGTGGCGGGGAAACGGACGTATGTGGTGCAATTCGCAAAAAGTGCGCCGTCGAGCCTTGTCGTCGTTGAGTTGAAGGTCATTTGATAGAAGAAAAAAACACCCACCTTTATACCATCCACGCACACCCTCAGTCTTTACCGTCTTCCACAGACAATCTATGGGGTTCTTGTACAATGTGCCCACCATCTTGCCGTTTGGCGCGAGAACCGTTGGCTGGTTGTACATGCGTGTTAATGCCTGAGGAGATTAATTCGCGAGCTGCGTTTCAGAAAGACGAGACGTACAGTGTCCGCAGGCTGCATCACCAGGCACTATGTTTATTACCATGAGTACAGGAGAGAGAGGGAAACAAAATAAGCACGCACAACGCAGATACCAGAAACGGAGCTGCTCGCCAGATATGTCCACACACTGCTCGCCGGCAGAATGTCACGGCTCACCAGAAAGTTCTTGGTAAGGTTGTAGCTCGGCAACTGCACCGAAGAGCCCATCGACGTGCGCAGAATTGCGGCATCGATGCCACGAATGAGTCCGCGCGGCCCTTCGGCGCGAAATATGGTGGACACCGCGTGAAACGAGTTTTTGTAATAGTGTTGCGCTCCAACCGGTAAAGCGGGGGAATAGGCCTGCATTCGGGCCTTGATGAGGAAGAGGGGGTTTCCCAGCGAGGCTGGCGGTACAAGTTCAGAATGTAAAGTATCGTCAAGCGCGAAGCTCACCTCCGACTGCCCCGCTCGTGGCCCCAGCAATGACTGCGGTTCCGGGGAGCTGCTCATCGGGTCGTCGGCCGATCAACTTATTGATGTTGCGCCGAAACGGCTCGTAAAATCCTAAAGCAAAGCGTTCATGGACAGTTGGAGGGAACGCAACACGACGCACCTAGTCGCGAGCCGTTCAACAGTATCTACAGAACCCATCTGTTACCGAAAAAAATAATCACAGTTGCGAATAACACGCACCTGGTACGCATACTGAGGACTAGGTCAGAAAATGACGAGGCAGGGAGCGAGGCAACGTGCCGCAGGTCCAAGGCCTCTCTGCATGCCGCGGATGCCCTCGTTCTTGTACGTCTTGCCAAGCACATCGAGCGCGTTCTTGTACACCTTTTGCGTCCCCGCCTTTGCGAGCTCACCCTGCAGCTGCAGACGTGTTTTGGCGACTTCAGCAGGGTTGGAGACGGTGACCTGGAGCCTCGTCAGTCAGCTTCAGGGCCATAATGCGGTTTACGGACGTACAGCGATACACGCTGCAACCCCGCCACACATGAAACCCTCCGCCGTCGATATAGGCCGGCCCTTGACGGGTGCCGGGGAGCTCATTTTGTGGTGGACGCGCGGAAGTAAAGAGCAGCAGGTTTAGTATGTAAGCCTTGTAACGCGATCGCGAAATTCCATTTTTGGACTCTGTCAGTCTAATGCCTGGACGCCAATGAACTACCCATTTAGCGCGCAGACGGTCGTGTTTGTCGCTGTGCTGGCCGTCGTGCTCCCTGCAATATTCCGCATAGTCTCCTCTCCCCTTACCCTTCTTCTCATTTCCCCTTTTGTCGTCGGGCTCCTGGGTGTAGCGTTCCTGGTCTTGAACGTCCTCGTCAGCCATCTCCTCGACGCCAAAGCACCCTCAGCGAGGAACAATCTTCACTATGCGGCCAGGCCATTCGTCTTTTCCAGCCCCGCAGCCTGGCAGGCGGTCCTGACGCGCTCCCAATGGTCCCAGGACAGTCCCCAGTCCTTTCCACCTCTCGTTCCCGGAGCACCTGTTGTCTCAGGTGCAATAAATGACATCCTCATCATGATTGTCCGAGACTTTGTGCTCACTTGGTACAAAGACCTCTCTGCGTCTCCGTCGTTTCCTATGGCTGTCTCGTCGGTGTTGCACAAGTCACTCGAGAATATACTCGACCGAGCAGCAGGAATCGATTTATCCGAACTCGTAGTCAAACGTATACTTCCCAAGGTCACTGCCCACATCGAGCAGTTTCGCCAGTCCGAAGTCGCGCTCCGTGGTGCAGGCTTGGAGCGCCGCCTGACCCAGTCCGAGGAGCTCGACCTTCTTCTGGCGAGCCGATACACGAGCAAAGGCGGGGGGAAACTACATCCTTCGGTCGACAACCTATCTACTACTTTTACTAAGCAGACGGAAGAGACGCATCTCCGGCACCTCGTAGAGAAAGCCCTTCCGTTCGTCTTACCAGAAAAAGAAGGCGGGAGCAGGGTTGTAAAGCTAGTTGTGAGAGAAATCGTCGCATGCGCCGTACTATACCCAGTCATGGAAATGGTATCGGATCCTGATTTTTGGAACAAGGCGATCGACCAGGTGGTGCGTAGTCTTGCACATTTTAAGTACCCAACTTCTCACTTCAATGCAGGCCGGCGCTGCGATACATGAACAGTGCGTCGCATCACCCATGGTTCCTATCATGTCTCACCAATAGCCAGAAAACTAATCACCAAAGTACGAAATGTGCTCGAGGCCCAGGCACCGCGACCACATCACCGGTTGTCATCTGCGCCAGTCACTGCACTACCTGCCACCGAGACCATCACAATCCGCACCGACGTCCGCCAGTTCGAGTCCTTCCTTCGCAGCATAAACCGCTGTTCGTCACTTCTAGATGCTCGTCGCCTAAAGAACGACGTCGTAGGAGAGATTCGGAGAACTCGCATTTCTCTTGGTGAGTCCTTTTGAACCTTGAAACCCAACGCACGCTAACCATGAGCAGCCAATCATGAAAAGGAAGACTGGATCAACGGAGAAAAAACCGAAGACGTCGTGGCTTTTCTGGATAGACTCTACACGGCCAAACGAAAGGTGGAGGAAAGAATTGTCGTTCTTGGTGGAGGAGACGACTCTGTAAGCTTTGTTTCACTCCTCAAAGAACTGCCTGACAAAATCCTCTGCAGCAACGACCATCATCGTCTTACCCTGAATCAAGCCCAAAATCTGGTTTAACCCTGCGTGACGTTCTGCAAAACCCCAGTTCATTATCATACTTTATGGAGTTCATGGACCGTCGGAACCGCTCATTGCTCGTTCAGTTTTGGCTGACTGTCGAAAGCTTCAAGAATCCTCTCGAGTCAGTAGATTCGGGTTCTTCCGGAGACGAAGATGAGCACATCCAGGATGTCTCTACTTCTGTCACCGTAAGGGAGGATATCTCTATGATTTATGAGCTTTATTTTTCGACTCCCACTCCCCATCCTACACTGGCTTCTATACCAAAGAAACATGTTCAGCGGATCCAGGACTTTGCGACGAGCGAACAGTCGCCCTCTCCCGCGACACAGAGGACGGTGCGCAGAAGTGTCATGCTGGCACAGAGGCAGGTGGAGCGAAATATGGAACACGACTTCGAGGACTTTGAGCGGTCGGAATTATGGTTCCGCGCAATCGGAGACACGGATTTCGGACGCTCTGTGCAGAGAAATTCGCCGGAGCCGCCACCGACGCTCAAAGACAGGCGATCCGTCACCTCACCCGGTCTTGCGAACCTCCATCTTGGTGCTCCTTCCCCTCTCAAGCAGACATTCGGTCCGCTTCCACACATGCTGCCCCGTGCCGAATCTTCGCCCAATTATGTGCGTCAGAGGACTGCAAGTGGGGGATCCCATCGATCGTCTTCTGGATCGCACCATTCTCGCCCCTCCAACATTGAGGTTCTCATGTCTCCCGTCTCGGACATGTCATCCGAATCCACCCGAGCCCCGCTGTTTGATGACCCTGACGATCGGCTTCAGCGGGCGGAGGAGGTGCGGATGGAGGCCATTCAGGCGGCACTGACGGACATCATGGCGTTGGAGCAAGAGCGCTCCCTCCC